GACCATAAAACATGCATCACATGCAATTTTCACATTGTGACCCTCAGTGACCTGACCTGGTATCAGTGACCTCAAATAGCAAAATATGTGTTTGACGAACATTTCCCCATCGATGATTGTCAATGAAATGCATTTTACTCGATTGTACAATGTATTTCTTGAAATGCCTGTAAACGGTGAGAATTCGACATTTAACCTGACCTGTGACGTCATTGGTTTGACCTAGGTCAATGAAATTGGGTCACAAGGTAGTTCCCAGTTGGGGCTATCCAACACCGTTTGCCGCTTGTCGCTATGTTGCGTGGTTCTCGAGATCTTAGGGGGAAATTGCCCCCCCCCCCCCCCCAACAGGGCGCGTTGCTCGGCAGACCCAACGGGGCGCGGGTTAACCTTGATAAGGAAGGGACCATGCTAAACTCCACGGTAACGCACCGAAATCCTTCCTACCCCGCACAGGCCGCCACGATTCCTGTCACTGGGTCACATGCACATTGCGGATGTACCAATGCACATCGGTCACATCCAGACGCATGCACGCACCTCAGTGGGGGTGTTTTGTTTTTTTTATCTCAGTGGATCGCTCAAGGCAGAACCGCACGCGGCGGATCTATCATCTCACTAGATCACAACGGAAAATGCGCCCAGACTCGATCTCCTAGTTCTTGGCGACCAGTGGCGGATCCAGGGGGGGGGGCAAAATGGGCATTTGCCCCCCCCAAAAAAAACGGCATAATTTTAGCATTACGCCTATGGACGATGCATGGAAAGAATGGATAAATTGTTATGCTTTGCCCCCCCCCCCAAAAAAAAAAAACTCTGAGCTGGATCCGCCTCTGTTGGCGACAATGAGTGTGTATGATTTGGGTGGAGCCTTCGTCATGTATCAGTATGCAGTGCTATGTATCAGTGTTATGCATCTGTCATCCAAGCGATTTCAGGAGCTCGCGATCACGGGTAAGTACCTAACCAAGCAGCCGCTAATTATGAGCCGTGGGTACATTTGAACCTGTTACAAATCAATTTTTAAACGCAATCATCATGCCTATGTTAGTTAATATGAGTTATTCCAATGCATCTCTTCACACAGTCGAAGGGCCGGATCTAAGCTCCCAGTGGATGCCAGATTAAAGTCGATGGATTCAGATCCCGGATCCGTGCTCTCAGACCGGCGCATCTGTCTAGTGGCATCACACCATGACCAGGGTTGCGGTCCAGCTCACACACCCACACGGAGAGACGGCACGCTCAGTGCGTCCTGTGTGCGCTGTGCCCCACTGTGCGCCGGCTCGCCAGAAGCAGGCCTGTGAACCCCCGCGGGCCGCAGCCGGGTCGGGTATCCGGTGTTTTGTCACCGCCGCGCCGGAACTGACGGCGCCGCGCCGCCTTTGTCCCCAGTCCGCCCAGCCCACCAGCGTCCTCCCAGGCGCCATCGCCCGCCGCCGGCCACCGACAGAGAAAACAATGAAAGAAAAATACAACACAACGCCGGAGTCCATGGCGGAGCCGGCCTCCAGCTCTACATAGTACTGCCGGCGCCGCGGGATGAAACTCTAATGATGTCGCAGCTACGGCACAGCATTAGCTGGGTCCCGGGCCCGCGGCCTCAGCCTCTGTCAGGGGCGGATCCAAGGGGGGGGGGTCACATGGGTCATGGCCCCCCCTTGAGGCCCGGGGGCCCAAAGACCTGCCAGGGGCACCACCGGCCTATCAGGGGTATCACAGTCCTGACAGGGGTACCACAGTCCTGACAGGGGCACCACACCACAGGACCGCCAGGGGCACCACAGGCCTAGCAGGGACACCACGGGAGTGGTGCCCCTGGGCCATGGGTGGAGAATGTTTGAAAAAGTTACCCCGGCCGGCGAACGATAGTCAAGGAAAAGACGGCATGCTCAAATAGTATTTGTAAACGGTTATCAACAAACCCCTTTTCTGTTGAATGAAATAATGGATGTTGTGATTGCTGAATGATGAACATTTTAACTCTCAGTTATTTCTCAGTTATTCAAGGTCAGGCCAACAGGTCACATCAAGTGACCTCGCCTCAAGTTTCACAATGGTGTTGGGGGCCGGGGGCGTTTCTAGCCTTAGTCCCCAGCTGCTTTTACGTTTGTAGGTGAAACCGCGGCAAGCATTTGCGTGAAACAAGGCAGGTATAAATTCTAAATTCAGTTATAATAAATCAGTTTCGCATCGTGGTTCTGAATTTCGCTCCCAAGTCACCTAGGGTCAGGCCATCAGGTCGATTTTGCTAGATAACCATGTTTAAACAGTCTGCGTTCATGGATCGTTTGCAGAGCTTGGGTATTTCCTAAAAAGACGAAAGTTTCCTTTTTCACACACAAATGTTAAATCTGACCGTTGTGGTCCTCTTGAAGGCTTGCTTGAAGGCAAGCGATTGGTTTTCACTTGCACCTGACATGTCACTCGCGAGCGAGTCTTAAAATAGCTATCAAATGTTTTGTTTGCAGTGTTCTAGCTCCTCTAGATCACGAGCTATGAGGAAAGTTGTGAAAGCACGCTATGAAAGGGAAAATTGGACTTTTAATGTCCTGTGGTGATTTATTTTTGTGCTGGCCTAAAATATAACGAAATTTATCTTATTATGTTAAGCGTTCTTTCAAACGGCGCTGCCACTCCTCGCCACGCAGCCCAGCAGCCGAGTTTGAAAGGGCGTATAACGACTACTCTACCTCTCGCCTCAACGTTTTCGATAGGGCCACCACCCTGACGTGGTTCAAGTTGGGGGGCCTAGAGCCCCCGCAGCTCTTCTACTTCTTCAATGCTACCCATTTTGTCTCATTGATATGACCCTAGACCTGTTTTCTTGTGTGATGTTATCGTGATCTTACGATAACGACCTTTGAATACCTATCGTTTTATTTTGCATGTTTGATCAAAGTTGTCGGGCTCTGCGATGAAAATATTTTGTCAAAAAGTCCCAAAATCAAAATAAATAGATCCTCAAAAACTTAAAAGAGGTAGGTAAGAGTAAAGAGAGACACTTTTGTAGGTAGAACTCAGCTTTTTCTCGTTTGGAGACAGTTAGTTTTAGAAATTACAAGAGTGAAAAAGTTACCCCGGCCGCGCCGGGGTTGGCTGAAAGTTACCCCGGCCACGGCCGGGGTGGCCGGGGCAGGTTCTCCACCCATGCCCTGGGCCCTGACAGGACTGTAACCCCCCTGACAAGCCTGAAGTGTCCCCGGCAGGCACGTGGTGCCCCTGACAGGCCTGAGGCGCCCCTGCAAGGCCGGTGGTGCCCCTGGCAGGCCTGTGGTGTCCATGGCAGGCCTGTGGTGCCCTTGCTAGGCCTCTGGTGCCCCTGACAGACTTGTAATGCCCCTGGAAGGACTGTGGTGCCCCTGGCAGACCTCTGGTGCCCCTGACAGGCTTGCGGTGCCCTTGGAAGGACTGTGGTGTCCCTGGGCCCTGACAAGCCTGAGGTGCCCCTGACAGGCCCGTGGTGCCCTTGTTAGGCCTGTGGTGCCCCTGGCAGGTCTGTGGTACCCCTGGCAGGTCTGTGGCGCCCCTGGCAGACCTGTGTTGACTGGTGCCCCTGCTAGGTCGGTGGTGCCCCTCACAGACCTGTGGTGCCCCTGGGCCTTGACAAGCCTGAGATGCCTGGCTATGACAGGCTCGTGGTGCCCCTGATAGACCAGTGGTGCCCTTGCTAGGCCTGTAGTGCCCCTGGCAGGCCTCTGGTGCCCCTGCTACCCCTGCGCCCGGAGAGGACTATGGTGCCCCTGAAAAGCCTGAAGTGCCTCTCGACAGGCCCGTGGTGCCCCTGACAGGCCCAAGTTACCCCTGCGAGGTCGGTGGTGCTCCTGACACTGACAGGCCTCTGGTGCCCCTGGCAGGTCTGTGGTGCCCCTGGCAGGCCTGTGTTGACTGGTGCCCCTGCTAGGCCGCTGGTGCCCCTCACAGGCCTGCGGTGCCCCTGGAAGGACTGTGGTGCCCCTGCCCCTAGGGGTGCTCATGGGCCCAACAGGCCCGTTGTGCCCCTGACAGGCCTGTCGTGTATACTTGCTAGACCTGTGGTGCCCCTGCTTCCTGGCGGGCCTGTGGCGCCCCTACAAGGCCGTAGGTGCCCCCGACAGGTTTGTGGTGTCCCTGGAAGGACTTTGGTGCCCCTGACAAGCCTGAAGTGTCAAGGACGGACCCTTTAGACGCCAGGGTCAAGTTCGTCGGACTGACAACGATTCGCTTACCTGATAACGTTCCTGGTAAGTACTCACTACTCAGCGTCCACAACATATATACACATAGCACATTCATATATACTTGCTTACAATTGGTAAATGTGGTTGTGGGTAAGAGTTAAGATACTGACTAAAATAAAAAATAAAAAAACTGAAAATGGGGGCACCACCAAAATGAAGTGGACGAAATCCGTTGAGTTTTTAATTTTGGGTATAGGTAGGGGCACCACTTCGATTCATGACCCTCCCCTTGGAGTTTTCCTGGATCCGCCCCTGGCCTCTGTCCGGCGGCCAGAGTCGACTGGTGTGGTTCGCTCTGTATTCCCCAGAGTCGACTGGTGTGGTTCGCTCTGTATTCCCCAGAGTCGACAGGTGTGGTTCGCTCTGTATTCCCCAGAGTCGACTGGTGTGGTTCGCTCTGTATTCCCCAGAGTTGACTGGTGTGGTTCGCTCTGTATTCCCCAGAGTCGACTGGTGTGGTTCGCTCTGTATTCCCCAGAGTCGACTGGTGTGGTTCGCTCTGTATTCCCCAGAGTCGACTGGTGTGGTTCGCTCTGTATTCCCCAGAGTCGACTGGTGTGGTTCGCTCTGTATTCCCCAGAGTCGACTGGTGTGGTTCGCTCTGTATTCCCCAGAGTCGACTGGTGTGGTTCGCTCTGTATTCCCCAGATTCGACTGGTGTGGTTCGCTCTGTATTCCCGAGAGTCGACTGGTGTGGCTCGCTCTGTATTCCCCAGAGTCGACTGGTGTGGTTCGCTCTGTATTCCCCAGAGTGGACTGGTGTGGTTCGCTCTGTATTCCCTAGAGTCGACTGGTGTGGTTCGCTCTGTATTCCCCAGAGTCGACTGGTGTGGTTCGCTCTGTATTCCCCAGAGTCGACTGGTGTGGTTCGCTCTGTATTCCCCAGAGTCGACTGGTGTGGTTCGCTCTGTATTCACCAGAGTCGACTGGTGTGGTTCGCTCTGTATTCACCAGATTCGACTGGTGTGGTTCGCTCTGTATTCCCCAGAGTCGACTGGTGTGGTTCGCTCTGTATTCCCCAGAGTCGACTGGTGTGGTTCGCTCTGTATTCCCCAGAGTCGACTGGTGTGGTTCGCTCTGTATTCCCCAGAGTCGACTGGTGTGGTTCGCTCTGTATTCCCCAGAGTCGACTGGTGTGGTTCGCTCTGAATTCCCCAGAGTCCACTGGTGTGGTTCGCTCTGTATTCCCCAGAGTCGACTGGTGTGGTTCGCTCTGTATTCCCCAGAGTCGACTGGTGTGGTTCGCTCTGTATTCCCCAGAGTCGACTGGTGTGGTTCGCTCTGTATTCCCCAGAGTCGACTGGTGTGGTTCGCTCTGTATTCCCCAGAGTCGACTGGTGTGGTTCGCTCTGTATTCCCCAGAGTCGACTGGTGTGGTTCGCTCTGTATTCCCCAGAGTCGACTGGTGTGGTTCGCTCTGTATTCCCCAGAGTCGACTGGTGTGGTTCGCTCTGTATTCCCCAGAGTCGACTGGTGTGGTTCGCTCTGTATTCCCCAGAGTCGACTGGTGTGGTTCGCTCTGTATTCCCCAGAGTCGACTGGTGTGGTTCGCTCTGTATTCCCCAGAGTCGACTGGTGTGGTTCGCTCTGTATTCCCCAGAGTCGACTGGTGTGGTTCGCTCTGTATTCCCCAGAGTCGACTGGTGTGGTTCGCTCTGTATTCCCCAGAGTCGACTGGTGTGGTTCGCTCTGTATTCCCCAGAGTCGACTGGTGTGGTTCGCTCTGTATTCCCCAGAGTCGACTGGTGTGGTTCGCTCTGTATTCCCCAGAGTCGACTGGTGTGGTTCGCTCTGTATTCCCCAGAGTCGACTGGTGTGGTTCGCTCTGTATTCCCCAGAGTCGACTGGTGTGGTTCGCTCTGTATTCCCCAGAGTCGACTGGTGTGGTTCGCTCTGTATTCCCCAGAGTCGACTGGTGTGGTTCGCTCTGTATTCCCCAGAGTCGACTGGTGTGGTTCGCTCTGTATTCCCCAGAGTGGACTGGTGTGGTTCGCTCTGTATTCCCCAGAGTCCACTGGTGTGGTTCGCTCTGTATTCCCCAGAGTCGACTGGTGTGGTTCGCTCTGTATTCCCCAGTTCGGTCCGGTGTATTCCCCAGTCCGAGTCCGGTGAGAGATTCGCGTCGGACAGCGGCCGGCGGGGCGCCGAGCCCCGCTGCCGGCGCGCACAGACAGACACACAGACACACCCACAATAGTCCGGACCGGACCGCGCAACGCGGCGGGAAGTGCCCCCCCCCCACACACCCCACCCACCCAACCACAGACACACACCGGTCCGGACCGGACCTACAGACACAACTCCGGGCCGCGGAGGGCAGGCAGCGGGAGGTACACCCCCGTCCCTCCCAGAGACGCACCAGTCCGGGCCGGACCCACAGACACACACCAGTCCGGACCGGACCGCGCCACGCAGCGGGAAGTATCCACTACCCCCCCCCCCCCGCCCCCCCCCCCCCACCTACACCGGTCTGGACCGGACCCACAGACACAACTCCGGGCCGCGGAGCTGGGCAGACAGCGGGAGGTACACACTACACCCCCGTCCCTCTCAGAGATGCAGACACACCAGTCCGGGCCGCCGACTGGTGTGTCTGTGTCTGTGTCCCCGACTGTGTATGGTCACCGACAGACACCAGTCGGGGCCGCGGAGGGCAGGCAGCGGCGCTGGCCGGTCGCTGGCGGACTCTCTCACTCGGGGCGACCCGTGTACAGGTGGTCGGACAGCGGAGCCGCGCCACACGGCTCGGCCAATCCGCTGATTGGCCAGCGCCAATCGGCCACCCCGTCCACAAATTACTGCTAAAAGTCCAGAAAATCATATAATACAGCATTGTGACAGGATTCGATTCGTCGCCTAAGAGTTCAGTCGCCGTGCACTTCTAATTTCATCAGTGGCAAAACAAGAGGAAAACACGATTAGTAGCAAAACTCGCCACTCTGCGAGCCGTCCGCGCAGCGGACGGTGGAATGCCGCTCGTCTCGCGAGTTCACGTGCTAAAACGGGCCGGGCGGGCGGCTGCCGAGCTGACCGGGGCCGCACTGGAGCGCGCCTCAGAACGCGCCCTTCTTCTCCAGCATCTCCGCGTCGTCATCATCCTGCAACAGCAGCCAGCGTCAGACCGCAGCTCACCGGGCGGCAGCGGGACACCGCACCGATACCGGCCCCGCGGGGCAGCGGGACGCCGCACCGACACCGGGGGCAGCGGGACGGCGGGACACCGCACCGACACCGGGGGCAGCGGGACGCCGCACCGACACCGGGGCGGGACGCCGCACCGACACCGGGGGCAGCGGGACACCGCACAGACACCGGGGCGGGACGCCGCACCGACACCGGGGGCAGCGGGACGGCGGGACACCGCACTGACACCGGGCGGCAGCGGGACGCCGCACCGACACCGGGGCCCGCGGGGCGGCGGGACACTGCACCGACACCGGGCCCCGCGGGGCAGCGGGACGCCGCACCGACACCGGGGGCAGCGGGACGCCGCACCGACACCGGGGCCTGCGGGATAGCGGGATGCCGCACAGACACCGGGCCCCGCGGGACACTGCACCGACACCGGGGCCCGCGGGGCAGCGGGACACCGCACCGACATCGGGGGCAGCGGGACGCCGCACCGACACCGGGGCCTGCGGGGCGGCGCGGCACACGCAGTGCGAGCGGGCGCGATACTGGAGCGTTAGGCGCGATCTCAACGAGGACCCGCCAGCTCACGCTCCCTCCCAGACACCCGGCTCGTCAGCAGCGCCGTCACAACTCACATCGAACCCGAAGCAGTTCTGCATGTCCTGCTTGCTCTTCTGGACGGCCTGGTCGTCGACGCGCCGGCGTCCGCCGGGCGTGGTGGGCCGGCGCGGCTGCTCGCCGCTGGCGCCCTCGCCGGCCGCCTCGGGCAGCAGGTCGGCCGGCAGACCGTCGTCGGCCAGGCTGACGTCGGTGCCCAGCTGGGCGGCGTCGATGGAGGAGGCGGCCGGGCCGGCGGCCAGCTGCATGTCGATGCCGCTGCCGCCGGCGCCGGCCGCCTGGCTCAGCGCCGAGTCGGGCACCACGGCCACCGTCTGCTCCTCGCCGTTGGCGTCCTGGCAACGCATGGCGGCGCGCGTCAGCCGACCGGGGGGGGAGGGGTCATCGGGCAGTGGGGAGGCAGCTCACGGGGCCGGTGGACGACTCGCGGTCAGAGGATCTCATGGTCAGAGGGTCTCGCGGTAAGAGGGTCGCACGGTCAGAGGTTTCGGTCGGACAGCGACGTCGAAAGGTAGCTTTTATTCCATTTAACCCCTGTCATCATAATACACCAGTACAAATCGTTTGAAAACTCAATTTCATCCATGGCCTGAGGCTGGGCGGGATCAACCATTTCTGTTTTAAAATTGCAAATGCCGTAAAAAGGCGGCAGCAATGGCTTCAACTTCCGCTACAAGCGAAATCTGTTAACCCGCGCCCTACTGGGGCTGCTGGATTTCCACGCCCTGCTGGGGGGGGGGGGGGGGGGCACCTCTCCTACTCGGCTCCAGGCCCACGTAGCGACGCAGCAAGCGGCGTTCGAAAGAGCGTCAAAAACAATGGTACTATTATTTCGAAAATGGCAGTTCTCGTTCCATCAGTGCCCTACAGAGGAATACGGTGTCTTATTTTGAGCATAAGTCATAAAACTGTAGAAAAAAAACTTATTTGAGGAAAGTGGTATATTTTCTTGAACAGCAGTGTTTTTTTCAGGCTTTTTTACATATGTTTGCTGACAATATCGATATTGAGCAATTTAAAGTCTCCAGACTCCAAGTTGTTTTAATAAACTGATAACATCTTGCTCTCGGCGCCGGAAGGACAGTTTATGACCCTTTATGATTATCTAAGACCTAAAACAAAACTTAGGATAATCTAAAATTAAGTCTAAAATTCCAAAAATTGGAAAAGTCTAAAATTACCAAATCAAATCGAACAGACCGCACTAATGTACTCGTACAGTGGATCTTATTAGGATCTCCAGACGTAACTAGATGGCGTTGAGCCTTAGTCGAGTCCATGTCAAATTCAAGGAGAGGTCACTACCGAGCTGGGCCCGATGGGGAGGTGGGCGGGGAGGGGGGGGGGGCGGTTGGCGAGGTCACGGTGCGGGTGACCTGTCAAACAGCCCCGGCGCGGTGAGGCACTGCCGTAGGCAAATGGCGCACTCCAGTGTTGTTCCATATCGTGGTGATGGGCCGGGCGGCCGGTTAGCTTGGCAGCTTGGAAGGAAAGGAAAATGAGGCATGGTTTTGCTGTGGCCGGTTCACCTGCTGTTACTTATGATGCACCCAGAGTAATGCAAATGTGGCGTTGATAATGCAGCTGGCAATGGAATGCTAGCGAATGCTCCGAGCGCCTAGCTATAAGGATTAAGATTATTTATGTCTCCTGAAATTTTCATTGAATATAATTCAAGCACTAGAGAGATCGTATTCGTTCGCCAGTTTTTTGACCGGCTGGCGTTTCTTGCGTAGAGCGCCCTTGGGCAAATATTTAGGCATAACGCAGGTGATTTTTTTTTTTTTTTGCTGGTAAGACGCCTTTAGGGTCAAATCAAGCAGTGGCGGCGGAACACCTTTATTGAAGTGGGGGCACTGCCGACTTTTGGTCCCATTCTTTCCATGCAACGTCCATAGGGCTAATGTTAAAATGCCAAAATCAAACGGGGGCACGGTGCCCCGATGCCCCCCTCCCCCCCCCGTTCCGCCACCACATGAAATCAAGTCGCTAAGAGACGATGAGGAAAAGTGGACGAACGCCACATTTCTGTGCATGAAGTCTCGAGTTATAAAAAGCTAAAAGTTATTTTACGTGTAAGCTAAAAAACAATAAGATCAGTTAATAAAAATATTTGACCCGAAATTAACTTCTGTTTTGTCTGACCATGATTGCATGTATGAACCCGGTCCATCCTGGTTCAACTCGGCGCAACCTGGTTCGGCTCCCCCTTTTTTAGATATAAATTTGGCCCGAACCTTTTGAATGGAAGGAATGACAAGGACAGAGTCCCCGCTAAGCTGAGCTTGTTAAGCGTTGAAACCTGCCATCTACCCTCCGATTAAGCAATTCCTGGTCTATTGCAGACTATGGTTTTGAGGTTTAGTCTCTGGCAAAATGGTCTGTGGTTTAGAGTCCAAATTTTAACGTGCGCACATAGCCGCGCACGGCCGGTCCCCTCGCTGACTTCGCCTGGCAGCGGCCTGCCACCAACCACAACCATACCCGTCAGGAGGTTAAAAAACGTCAAGCACACGTCGTGTTTCGAACCCGGACTTTTGCAACCGGGACGTGCGCTCTCACCACATGGCACATGGAGTCCAACGCTCTACCGACCGAGCTACCGGGACGGACATTTACCTTGGGGTTTCGCCTCGTGACATTGACAGAGGTCAGACTGCGTCAGACACTTTGGCCGAACTTTAGCCGAAACACTGAGCAAGCTGCGCAGGGCGATAGGTGCTCGTAGCGTTGAGGTTGGGTAACCTGTGAGCTGAACGCGATGTCGTGAGTTCGAGCCCCACTCCCGGGTCTGGTTTTATCTAGACACAACCAAAAACTTTCCTTCTATTGCAACACAGCTAAGCACGATGACATCTTTCCCAAATATCTTTCCCCAATATCCTCCCCAAAAGTCAAAATTATCGCCTATAAACGTTAAGCTAAGTTTAATTTTTTAGGAAAATATTTTTAGTCATTTTTCTGGAGTCATTTCAACTCTTTTTTCTTTTCTGATTCTTTTCGACCCGATAAAACCCACCAAAACTGAACGTGCCAAATGAAAAATATCTAACTCAAATAACAGTTTAGAGAAGCCTCATCATGCATCATGAAAAGCATCATGCAACTATCGACTGAAAAGTTGCAGGCTATGAATACGTCCTAGATTGTTTCAATTATCATTGTTCAACATTTTGGCTAGAACTGACGCTGCCTCTGGCTTGCCCGTTTGTTTGAGATAATGATTCCCTTCAGTCGCGTTCTTGCCGGTTCCACATGAACAGGATACCACCATACCGGAGTGAACGCACCCGCAACCATCATCCCCTCCCCTCAGCCTTGGCGCAGTGGCGGGCGGCCCTGGGCGGCCCACTCGCGGCGCTACGCACGCCCCATGCGCCGTGATACCGCGTCACCCCCCCCCCCCCCTCCCTCCTTCCCCCACAATGACCGGTGACCTCACTTCCCTCGGGATTTGGACTCGCCCTACCCCGACCGTAGCGCCACGTGGTGGCTCTGGAGATCTTAAATAGACCCACTGTACAGTCTGTCTTGAAAGTACCGCAGCATGGGCTGCGGCGGCCCGGCGAACTGGAGGCCGGGAGTTCGGTGGTTTGAGAGCCCCAGAGCACGTGACGGCAGTGAGCCAGGAGAGAGTGACCGGGCAGGTCGCGTGGGGTGCCGCTCTCCCTTACTCTTTCCACCCCGCTGCGGCGCCTGTCGCCCGGGGGCACGGGCCGTCTGCGAGCACGAGTGGAGAACTTGACTGGCCCGGCCGATCCCCCGGTGGCCGGTTCACCCTTGGAACAGTTTTATTCTCGACGAAAAGACAGACGTAGCCAATCTAAAGGATGAGCGCAACTGCTTGCATTGTTATCAGAACATGACGCATATTGAACAATAATTTACGATCATGGAACAGAACAGAATAAATGTAATAAAACTGAAGTAATGATGTGAATAACAGCACAGGACGATGTCAATGCAGTAGTTTTGTCGAAAATCTCAGATTAACTATGGGTTTAAATCTGATCGATTGATCCAGTAGGCAGTAACTTAGGATAAAGTAATTTTGTTTCGTATTTATTTATGCGAGATAAGAACGAAATCTCATTCACACCACCCTTGTTGAGATTGAAACACAATAGTACCTATTTAAAGCGAAAGCCAATGAAAGTAAGATGGAATGGTAACCTTTTGCTAATAACTTTAGGAAGCCAAAGCAAATCCTACACTTGGGTGTTTTTCTTCTTCCTTTTATTCCATCTTATTACAAGTAAAATCATCATCATGCAAAGAAAAAAAAAACGTTTCGAACCATTCAAACTATAGACGGCCAATGGCTGCTACATAAAAAACAACACAAAATAACTAACACATTAAACTCCTTTGTTTCCTATCCATAAAAGTTACAGGCAAATATTTTCATTTTACGATCGAATGGCCAGGCAATTGTTCGTAGCGCCTACTTCCAGGTGGAGGATACGATCACTTTGATAATCGTATACCAAACACGAGTTATGCGTATTTGTGCGGAATGTCACTGAGATTATGGGTATTAACAGCTAGCGGCATATTAATCTTTCAGTTCCTGAGTGCTCACTGTTCACTGTTCAGCTCAAGATGAGAGATTATACGAGGCTGTATAGTGTTTATCTTATTCGTTTAACTATCTATCAAAATTCCTCTCTTCCTCTCTCTCTCCCTCCCTCTCTCTCTGTCTCTCTCTCTCCCTCTCCCTCCATAAGATCTGCTGAAAATTTTGGCAGACCAACAAATATTGCAGAGTCTAGCTACGAAAGCAGTCTGGGAGAGTTGCGTCCATCCCCGTACCGGCAAGTGATACGTTTAGCTTATGGCAGTGCACTGGTCCGGAGTCAGAGTCGTAGTCGGAGCCGATCAGCAGGCCGAAGTCAGATTAAGAGTCGCAGTCGGAACAGCGCCGTCGCGACTCAGAACCCTTTTTCTTTATATCTCCGGCTTCAAAGTAGCTGGCTAGATTTATTGCTTAACAAAGCAGGCTCTCTGCACACTGCTGCGTTGGGGGGGGGGGGCTGCAACATACCTCCACGCATGCCTGATAAGTGATATTACATCTTTTCTTGACACTTGTGGTGGCGGAATGAATCAGACCCAGATCTTTCAAGGTCGGGCCACTTAGGTTACGTTATAGTGTCCTAGCCTTAGGAAAAGTTGTAATGCGCACCGGCACTGAATAATGCTCGAGAGGTCACCGCTGGACCTGAGATCTTAAACTTCATACTTTCAGGATGAGGTCAAACCGATGCGTCCCTCACGGCTTTTTCACGAATAACTCGCGTAAAAAGCGACCGACCTACAGACCACGACAAAACTGTCAATATCCTCGAATTGATCAATGTTATACATATATCTTCCCTAAAAATATGACCCTGAACCCAATGACCTTTGACCTGTAGCCTCTTTCTCGATACCATGTCAGGCCAAAATGCCGATTCCATGCATGTCAGCACATATTATCTACGCGTTTCCAGGCATTTTGTGATTGGAAACATCAGGTCCCAGCAGGTGAAATGATCAGGGCCGACCTGATCATTTCACATATCCGATCATAAGCCGAACGGCTGTAAAGCAGGTTCCTACGGACCATTTCCATCAGTAGACGCTATAAAGCGGCCAATACTGGAAATGTTAGAAGTAGTTACCAGTCACTGTGTCTCGTAACCACGCACACAATTTTTTGGAAGCCCTAGCTTAATCTGAGCGAACGACGGAGGCCGCACCCCCTGCCCTCTGGCCGGATTACATGTGTAACACGTAAATGTCTGGCGAGGCTCGAAAGGGAAGCATCACTTTCCATTTATCAAAACTTTCATGTCAGGACGAGAATTACTACGCTTAGCTGGTGTCTCTGTATAAGTATTCATAAAACAGCGCCTTGTCTGCCGCACGGGCAGCACCGAGAGCCCGCTCACTCGCGCCCATCCCTCTCCTCCCTCCTCCCCCCTCCCCAAGGGTCAGGCGATCCAGTGGCACTCAAACCTGACCGCCCTCCGCTGCGCCGGCCCACCAGCGCCACCCTGCCATGCTGCGGTACTTTCAAGACAGACTGTACATAGTTAACCCGCGCACCGACGGGGGTCTGCGCCAACTTAGTACCGACGGGGGGGGGGGGGCGGATGACCGCCCCCCCCCCCTGAGATCTCGAGAACGAAGCAAGATAGCGACAAGCGGTAAACGGCATCGGATACGCACGGTCAAGATCTACAATTTTTACTAAGGTCATTTTCAGGTCAGGTCAAAGATGACGTCACAGGGGTCGAAAAAGTCAAAATGGCGGCGCTGAATATGGAGAGTTTTTCTCGAATAACTTTCGAATTAGTCAAGATAGGAACAAACTAAGGGCATCATCGTGATCCTCTCGTCAATCCGCATCGAATGATATATATGTTGACCTCGAAAGGTCAAGGTCAAAGGTTGACCTCAGGTCACGTGACCTCGAGGTCATCATGTATATCATTCGATGCGTCTTGACGAGCTGAACACAATGAGACCATCCACGCGTCTGTATCTTGTTCCTGTACGGAGTTATTGGCCAAAAACCTTTGGTGACCTTTGATGACGTCACATGACCTCACAGCTGCCCAACAGCAAAACAGACCTCAAGGTAGTGAAGGTTGATCGTATATGAAGTCATGTATGGTATATGAGGCCATTCCGACCCGTTTTAGTGGTAAAAACAGGGAGTTGATTTTTCCCCCATTGACTTATAATGGGGAGGTCGCGAAATTGACCTGACCTTAGGTCACCGATATCAAAATTCCGAGATATACAAATTGTAGCTACTAATGACCTAATAACATCCTGTGACTTTCAAAGGCCTCCGACATCTACTGTAGCTCTGGCACGGTGACAAAGTTGCAAAAAAGTGACTTGAGGTTGGGTCATTCAAAGTGACCTGGTGACCTGACCTTGAAAGGTAGGAGGTTCAAACTTGCACACCATGTGTAAAATTGATAAGGGAATAGTCATACTAAATTTCGCGGCGCTACGCGCCGCGGTTTTCCCGCTATTCGCGAAAAACCTCAGGGGGGGGGGGGGCGGATATCCGCCCCCCCCCCCCGTCGGTGCGCGGGTTAATATTGAAGAGGCTTAATCAAAACGTAGAAATTTAAACTACCTACTATAAAAGAATCAACCTCAGTCCTTAGGGTCACTTTTTATTTCTTAAGTAGGGAACATGGTTGATTTTAAAGGAATAAATTGTAAATTTCTTATATGCAAATGATACAGCAATATTTTTGAGACATAAAAGACATTAAAACACTAAAAACAAAAATATATAGATCTGTCAAATACATCGAACTTCGTCTGCACATGGATGGTGGACTCTTTACAAAAAGGGCTCCTGCACAGGCAAAAAATAGGACAGATCATTTGGAGAGATTTGCAGGATTCCGAGGTATTGTGCAAGGCTATAACAGAAATAGTGCGGTCGGCCGCATGGCGCTTTTTGTTTGTTTATTGGGGTTCTGGGCGCGCCGACTGCAAAGGTCAATTTGCGCCCATGACGCCATCTGCTGGGACGACAATTTTGATAACTCCATGACGCCCTAGCTGTTAACAACTGAATGACTGGACAGGAAAGCGGCAGCTTCATCAACATACGGAAGGATCCTGAGGCATCAGCTACATAGGCCAGCTGTCTGAATGCTATTCGCGCAGCAGCAAGGCTCTGCATGACGTCAATCAGCTTAACGACACGGACTACTAATTGTCTGAGAATACTTCAAGGACAATCTGAAACAGACAGCGGCCTTCCTCTGGCGAACATTCTCTTGGCTTCCTTACGTCGGACGTTTTAAGTAGAGGATTCAACAAATGAACAAGACAAGCAGAGGTGGAGATCTCGGGGGGTCGGGGGGGGGGGGGGGGTGTCAGGACCCCCCTTAAAACGAATTACTGCTATGTAAGTCAATGGTACTGCATCCAGCCCGCCTCCATCTGCCCGACCTGGACCCCCCCCCCCCTGAAATTTTGACAGATCTCCACCCCTGAAGACAAGATGAAATACAAAATACTAATTCAAAGCTAAAGTGTTGGGGTTAGAACAGCGTTAGAACAGCTCTAGGAAAACAACCGCCACGAGTTTGGAAATGGTCTTTTAAAAAACAGCTTTGTTGCGCATTTTCCATTAACGTCCTTACTGCAAAGGAATACTGCCAGTATGTACATTGAACACGTTACCAAATGTCGTAAATAGGAAAGCACGGCACATATAAGATAGCGCACTTTATAGATTTGAAGTTGTACGAGATATCACGCTCGGGCAAGTACCATCCGAACTTGTAGGATGGGATGCCTGATGCAGCATCAGACTGCATGTCTGCCGGTTAAATACGTATCGAGAGGACAGCGCAAATCGTGCCGGGGCCGCGGGCTCCGCCAGCTCGCACCGGGTTTTACCTTCTGAGCCCCAAAACAGAGTGTCAGTGGCCCAGCGGCGTTCAGTGTGGGCCGCTGAGGGCGCGGGGCGGACTGACCTGCAGCTGGATGACCTCGAGCACCACGTACTGCTGTCCGTCCTGACCCTGGACGGCGACCACCTTCTGCTCGCCGCCCGACTCTGCCGACCCGGCGTCCCCGACCAGCTCCTCGTCCTCGTACTGCAGCGACTCGTTCATCAGCTGCCGGACATTCAGTCGGGCCCGGTCACCGCCCACCGACATCACAGCTTACCCACACGGGTACACAAGACGGCGGTTCTCTCCTTAGCAAGCATGCCAGCGCCTAGATTGTTACAGGGGTTTTCTCTCTATTCATTGCGATAATTCCATAGTACTGCTAGATATCCTTACTTATAATGCAGCGGCTAACTAGTTGCTGCTGCTATCTACTCAGTTACTGTTCTCGGGCCCGATTTTATTTTACGGGACCGCGGCTGAAAATGAGGTCTCTGCCACTGAGCTGAGCGGGCAGTGAAGCGTCACCCGTGCGACCGGTGCTCGGGCGACTGAGCGACAGCTGGTCTTACCGACACTTTGGTCTCCCGTCCGAGTTTGAGGGCCAGCTGCTTCTCGGCGGCGCTGGCCTCCGGGTCGTGGATGGCCAGGTGGCGGATCAGGTTGCCCTTGTGGCGGAAGGCGCGGCCGCACTCGGGGCACTCGTGCGTCTTCTCGCGCGGCTGTGGCGGAATGTAGTTGGGGTTGTGGTAGAGGTTGACGTGCCGCTTCAGCAGCTGTTTCTGTCGGAACGACTGGTCGCAGTGCTGGCAGACGTACGGCTTCTGGTCGGTGTGGATCAGCATGTGCGACTCGAGGTGGCGCTGCGAGGTTGACATGTACGGGCAGAGGTCGCACCGGAAACACTTCTCGCCCTCGTGCGTCTTGCTGTGCAGCTGGAATGCAGAGGACGGGGGTCGGACGCAGCTCCCGACCACACACACTCGGACCGCCGACGCTGGCAGACGAGCAGAGCACACGGCGCCGCCAGTCGCGCGCCCTATCGACATCCGCTCAGCCATGCGTAACGGAACATGTCATTTCACTACCATACACCTATAATGATATAATCTGCATGTGTCGGGACTTGTGATGTCAATTACAGAAAATCGGAATACCGATACCAAGCCAAATTATAACCGAAACCGTGAGTAAATATCGAAACCGTACCAACTTGGGAACATGAGGGAAATGCCAACTTTTTACCCATGTTTTTTATACCAACCAACTTTTTACTTTTTACCAACTCGGCCCCTTATGCATTAGCAAGGGTTCATAATACCAACATAATACCAAAAACATTAGGATTGAAATACCAAATACCATGTTGGTATCGTTTTGGTATCGGTATATCGTTATGGTATCCGATTGACATCTTAGTCGGGACACTGCGAACTGGGTGTTACGCTGGCTCAGGCTCACAGCCGACACACAAGAGGAGTCAGCACCTGAGGCAGATGAGCTGCACACGCACCTCCCGGTGCTGACCGGGGCCGCGCTCGGCACCGCCGGGACTGCGCACCGCACACACCTACCTTGAACGAGTAGCGGTCCGGGAAGCTCTTTCCGCAGCGTTTGCACTTGATGGGCCGGTCGGAGGTGTGCAGCTTCTGCACGTGGATGCGCAGGTCGGTCTTACGTCCGCAGGTGGTCGGGCACAGCTCGCAGTGGTAGAGGGGTTTCTCCCCCGAGTGGATCTGCCGGTGCGCCTTCAGAGAGTTGCTCTGCGTGAAGCGCGAGCCGCAGATTTCGCACTCGTACGGCTTCTCCCCGGTGTGAATCCGCAGGTGGCGCTTCAGCTTGAACGTGTCCGGTGAGGCGTACGTGCAGTGCGGGCACTGGTAGGGCCGCTCGCCCGTGTGCGAGCGCATGTGGCGGCGCAGCTTGCTCAGCTCGACGCTCGAGTAGTCGCACTCTGTGCAGGTGTGCGGCTTCTCCTTGGTGTGGATGTAGCGCACGTGGCGCACCAGCTCGCCCGAGGTGGTGAAGTTGGCGTCGCAGAACTTGCAGCAGTGCGGCTTGGTGCCCGTGTGCGTGTTGACGTGGTTCTGCAGCGAGGCCAGCGTCTTGAAGCCGCGCTCGCAGACGGAGCACTTGTGCGGCCGCTCCTCCGAGTGGGACTTCATGTGGCGAGACAGCAGGTACCTGCCGAGGGTAGCGCGGCGCGGTCAGACTCCGCCGACCACCGGGCCGGGCGGGGCCGAGAGACACACCGACACCGTACCGGACCAGCGACACCCGACCGAGAGATACACCGGCCAGCGACACCGGGTCGAGAGATACACCAGCCAGCGACACCGGGCCGAGAGATACACCGGCTAGCGACAGCGGACCAGCGAAACTGAGAGACACCGGCCAGCGACACCGGACCGAGAGATACACAGACACCGCACCGGACCAGTGACACCGGACCGAGAGATACACCGACCAGCGACCGCGGACCAGCGAAACTGAGACACCGGCCAGCGGCACCGGGCCGAGACTCTGAGACACCGGCCAGCGACACCGGGCCGAGACTCTGAGAGACACCGGCCAGCGACACCGGGCCGAGACTCTGAGAGACACCGGCCAGCGACACCGGACCGAGAGATACACAGACACCGGCCAGCGACACCGGGCCGAGACTCTGAGAAACACCGGCCAGCGACACCGGACCGAGACTCTGAGAGACACCGGCCAGCGACACCGGACCGAGACTCTGACAGACACCGGCCAGCGACACCAGGCCGAGACTCTGAGAGACACCGACCAGCGACACCGGGCCGAGACTCTGACAGACACCGGCCAGCGACACCGGGCCAAGACTCTGAGAGACACCGGCCAGCGACACCGGACCGAGACTCTGAGAGACACCGGCCAGCGACACCGGGCCGAGACTCTGAGAGACACCGGCCAGCGACACCGGGCCGAGACTCTGAGAGACACCGGCCAGCGACACCGGACCGAGACTCTGAGAGACACCGGCCAGCGACACCGGGCCGAGACTCTGAGAGACACCGACCAGCGACACCGGGCCGAGACTCTGAGAGACACCGGCCAGCGACACCGGACCGAGACTCTGAGAGACACCGGCCAGCGACACCGGCCGGCCGAGACTCTGAGAGACACCGGCCAGCGACACCGGGCCGAGACTCTGAGAGACACCGGCCAGCGACACCGGACAGACACAGTGGCCATCGACAGAGGGCCAGCCATAACGAAAACGGCAGCAAACAACCACAAACGGACGCTCGACAACATAGAAGCACACTGAATACATAGAGAACCAGAGCGATGATGCAATGTTGGTAATGAGGTATGCAGAAATTAATGAAGTGCAGGTGACGGTTACTGGACAGCGAGAGGTGCCCCGAGCCGCGGCTGGCACCCCGCGGGGCCGAGTGTGCGACAGCGGCAGGGGGCAGAGCTCACCTCTTTGGCGTGGTGTAGTTGCAGTAGCTGCACATGTGGGCCTGCGTCACCGTCTGGGACGACTTGCGCGTCAGCATGCGCGTCAGCTTCCTCTTGTCGTCCTCGTCGCCCGAGTCCTCCTGCAGATGGGGGGGGGGGGGGCGAACGGGATAGCGACTGATGCGAAACATGGCGCGTGGCCCGCTAATATAATATACAATACGTAATAGGCCGGTTCCGTAGCTCAGTCGGTAGAGCGTTGGACTCCGCGTGGTGAGAAACGGAATTGCGCGATCGGAGGGTGGGGGGTAGGGTCCACGCAACAAGCTCTACTTAGCGGGGGCTCTGTCCTTGTGAATCTGTCCACCTGTGGGCCGTCTCTGTCCGTCTCTGTCCGTCTGTGAGCCGTCTCTGTCCGTCTGCGAGCCGTCTCTGTCCGTCTGTGGCCTCTCTCTGTCCGTCCGTGGCCCGCCCTGATGGCCCGTCCGTGACCCGTCTGTGGCCCGCCCTGATGGCCCGTCTGTGGCCCGCCCTGATGTCTGTGGTCTGATGGCCTGTCTCCTGATGTCTGTGGTCTGATGGCCCGTCTGTGGCCCGCCCTGATGGCCCGTCTGTGGCCCGCCCTGATGACTCGTCTGTGGCCCGCCCTGATGGCCCGTCTGTGGCCCGTCTCTGTCCGTCTGTGGTCCGCCCTGATGGCCCGTCCGTGACTCGTCTGTGGCCCGCCCTGATGGTCGTCTGTGGCCCGTCTGTGGCCGCTCTGATGGCCCGTCTGTGGCCCGTCTCTGTCCGTCCGTGGTCGCCCGGATGGCCCGCCCTGATGGCCCGCCTGTGGCCGCTCTGATGTCTGTGGTCTGATGGCCCGTCTGTGGTCGCCCCGGTGGCCGCTCACCTCCTGCGGTCCGCCCTCGTCGCGCTCGTCGAAGTCGTAGACGCCGATGCTCTCGGGGTCCTCTGGCTCGTGTTTCTGACCTTCCTCCGAGTCCGGCTGAAGAACAGGCGCGCACGTCAGACACATCGTGCCGCACACTGCGCTCAGCAGAACACGACATACTATGCGAGAGGGCCTCAGTGCATTCAACAAGCCTAAAACGCGACCAGTGATCGGTGCTTCCATGGATACACTATGGTCACCAGTGCCATTAAGTGATAGCAATTGGAGACACTTCAAGGACATGCATACAGGTAAAGCACGTTACGTTAGAGCCTCCCATAGGCTTCCATGCTGGGAAAATGACTACGATTTGGTAAATGTTCTAAAAAAACATCTCAAAACGCTTTTAGGCAGAGTATCTGCCTAAAAGCGCTATGAGCGTATGTAAAAATTATACTCTACAGTGAAAATGTTATTCCTGGATTATTTTACATCGTTTGTGCTCTTCTTCAGACATTCAATTGGCATCGACCATTCCGTATAAAAGCGTTCCGAATTGTTTCTTTTTTTTTGTAGAATATGTACTTGATCGTATTCAGCTTGTGGATGCCAAGCATGTAAGCCTATGGGGCACTGACGACACACACTAACTTTATTGCGCGCCTCTGACGTGACATACCTACTGACTTTGTGACGCGCTCAATATGTGAGCATTTCCCTGAAGCGTCTCCGACTTTCAACTGACCAAAGATGAAAACTAGCTTACAGCAAACTCCTCTGACCAAGTGTTCCCGCTGTAAGGGAAGTTATGGCATTCGCCCACCAGCTGGGAGTTTGGGCCCCGCACGGGGCCGGCCCGGAGAGGGGGTGGTGCCGCCGATGGACCTCTGACGGCGGCCACCCCCGGCCCGGAGAGGGGGCGGTGCGGCCGACGGGACCTCTGACGGCGGCCACCCACCTGAACGATGAGCACGTAGCTGACTTCGTCGGCGTTGCCGTCCGACGGCACGATGGTGACCGTCTGGAAGTTGGCGCCGGCGGCGGCGCCGGCGGCCGGCTGAGCGGGCGCCGCCAGCTCGCCCGAAACGGCTGTAGCGGCCGCCGCGCCGCGACCCGACCGCTGCCGGCACACGCGCAGCGCGCTACAGGCACACGCACGCACAACACACTCGTCTGCCTACTACTGAGAGCCAGTGTACGTACCGCAGAACCAGACAACACACTACGTCGCACAATAATGAAGTAAGGCTGCAGCAGCTGTTAGAAAATATCATTTCATGACATGCATGTTCAATCGGCATCGGTCAAAAACAAACATCAGAATGCTTGATCAACGAGATGCTAACTGTAGGAGGATTTTCGCCCTCTGTGTGTGTGTGTGGCGGTGCGGCGGCGCGCGGCCCCACCTTGGGCCGGCTCGAGCCGGCGACTGGAGGCTCCTCCTCGGCCGCCTGCCGGATAAAGTACTGTCCGTTCTGGTCCATGTACACTTGGCCCACCTCGCCGGCTCCTGCAACACGGTCCCGGCGGGTCAGTGCGGATACACTGGGTCAGTGCCGACACACGGGGTCAGTGACGACACACGGGGTCAGTGACGACACACGGGGTCAGTGACGACACACTGGGTCAGTACCGGCCGGCGGGCAGTACTCAGTACCGGGTCAGTACTCAGTGCCGACACACCGGGTCAGTACCGGGTCAGTACTCAGTACCGGTCAGTACTCAGTGCCGACACACCGGGTCAGTACCGGGCGGCGGGCAGTACTCAGTACCGGGCAGTACTCGGTGCCGACACACCGGGTCAGTACCGGGCGGCCGTCAGTACTCAGTGCCGACACACTGGGTCAGTGACGACACACCGGTTAGTACCGGGCGGCGGGCAGTACTCAGTACCCGGCAGTACTCAGTGCCGACACACTGGGCGCCGCCCCAGTGTGGCCGCCGACCGGGGCGCGGTGTGGTCGCTGACCGGGCCGCCACCACCTCGTCTGACGTTTGGGGCCCAAACCAGCGGCAAAGGCTGATATCCAAACAACAAATTCTGGTGGAAGAGCCCGCAAGATTTTCACAGCAACTGGTCGCAGCAGCAAACACTGCGTTACATTACATTTAAAACTAGATAAGCTGGGATGACTTGGGAAGTTCCTGATGCAATCATTACTCTACCGAAATGATAACCCGCGCCCTGTCGGGATGTCTGGCCAAACCCCATCAGACTTCGCACTCATGTCTGAAAAACGATTTTTTTCTTCTTTTTTTCACTTTATTTACACATGCGAAGCACAGCACATAACTAAAACATATCTTGATATTACATGTGTCGCCTGCCTGCAACACATTACACAACCCATAATCATATGTTGATCGAACCAGTCGACCGTAAGCGTTATATCGCTATACCATTTTCAACATAAATACATCGCCATTTGGCAGCAAAATGTTTCATTCGATTTTCTCTCAAAGCGATTATTCTCTCTGCCTCATAAAACTGTTCTACCTGTGATTTCAACTGCGCCATCACGAGTGTCCTACCATCCCTACGCTGGACATGTATGTAACGCTTCGTTAACAGAATGATGACATTAATGACACATGGCACCTGCGTTGCACCGAACAACACGGAACGAGCATCGCACGGAACATGTGCAGGTCGTATTCTCGAGTTCATATTACGAAATAGCCTAATCCAAAGGGCGTGCACAGGTGGACAATTGTATAAATGATGTACGAGAGTATCGGATTCTCCACAATAGTCACAACTCTGCGTGTCTATGACTCGTCTGACGTGCAAAAAGCGTTTAGTTGGCAAATATCTGTGCAACACCTGAAACTGAAAGGACTGAAGTTGGGTGGAAGCGCAACACGTGTATGGAATCTTAAGGTATGTGGCCCAAGCTTCTGGGGCTAGATGCTCGGCTTCCCACTTTATTAGAGACTTTGGTTTTTGACTTGTCAAACCTAAAAGATATAACTCTTTTGTCCTTAAATTTACGATCCGCTTTACTTTTGATCCTATCTGGCAGCAAATAGCAGCCCCTCTCATCTGTCCTACATCAAGAAAGTCTCCAGATCGCCGTAAATATAACTTCCAATCAGAAGGGATAGCTCTTATTAATCCTTGATACAGAAGGCTGTTCACTCTAAAGTTGTATTTCTCGCAAAATTCCGCGTATGTCATTAACTGTCCCTGGGTTGTAAGCAAGTCTGATCTGAGTCTGAAAAACGATTTGATGTAGCCAGGCTTCTGAAATTTTCAGTATATGTTCATTGAGGCCTTAACACGCGCAGTGGAAGGGTTGCGAGTACTACGCCCAGTGGAAGGGGGGGGGGGCGGATGTCGCCCCCCCCCCTAAGATCTCAGCTCCCACTGGAGCTAGAAAGACGAAATTTGGAGGGTAGGTGGGGGCCATGGGGAACTCTATTGTGTGTGAATTTCGTGACCCTAGGTCAATATCTTCAAGGTCAAATGAGGTCAAATGTGGTCAAATCTGCCATATTAGCGACTTTTTTGCGTTTACACGCCGATAACTCAAAAAGTTACCGGCCGATTTTTTTAAAACTTTCACTATACGAAAGAGCAAACATTTGTGGGTATGTATGGTGAATTTCTAGACAATCCAACAATAAATATGGCAGTTAGAAGCCTGCTAAGGGTAAGATGTCGCCGGCTGAAGCGGCATCGGCCGACGCGGGAAACGCGGCAATCACAATTTTGTGTTTACACACTCATAACTCAAGTTGTTACCGGCCGATTTTCAAAATTCTTTGACCATATGATTGCCTGTACAATTCTCAGTCTTCTCACCGAATTTGACGCGAATCTAAAATAATCAGCGGTAAGGAGCGCGATGTAAAGACGGAACCGTCCCGCCCCGGCACAGTCTACAATTCAGGCGGCGCGTAACGGCTAGCGCCGGCCGCCGCGCCGCCGCGCCGCCGCGGCGGCACGATGTTTGACTTTACACCGCTATTACTAGAAAAGTTGTGAACCGATTTTCTTACTTCTTGCATGAGAAGATCCGCTATTCAATTCTGGACAGGTAGCCGAAATTTCACATTGATATTGTACTTGCGGCGCGAGTTATTGGCGAAAAACAGGAGGGGTGGGCGAAATCCGCCCCCCCCCCCCTTCCACTGCGCGTGTTAAACAGCTTTCCTGGAGAAAACTGGCCTTAGGGTCATTTCAGGTCAGGCAAAGAGGTCACATGAAAGACTCTCACTTCAAAAACAGTTTGAAATCATGTCTTTGCCAGTTTATATAGGCGATCAGTCTGAAGAATATGTAATATGATATGCAGTGAGCACATGACTGAAAATCGTACATCGCGGTTTTGGTAAATATGTGACCCATGGTCAGATAGGTATAGTGACCTCTCCCATCATGAGTGCAGGGGAACTGGGCAAACCCAGGCCGGGAGACGTTTTTCGCCCCCCCCCCCCTCCCCCCCGCGACGAGTATTTGCCTGCTGCCATTGCTGCCGAACGCTTAAAGAGACCATGCCAGTTTAACCCTGGCCGGTACAGGCCATTTTGCGTCCTTCGACGGCACAAGTTGGTACGACCCCTCCCCCCCCACACACACGCGCGTGTTTGGCCCCTGATCGAGCTAGACCTTCGCGGAAAAAAACGAGCGTGTTGGCCGTCACTAGAGGAGGCCAATGATACCCAATTTTAAGGTCCTAGGTCATATTCGGTTGATCTTCCAGGTCAGGTTAATGACCCAAAAGTCGGGAAAATCGGGACCGGTTAGAAATTCGTAATGTGTGGCTGGCGGCTGCTACGGGGTTTTTCGGGGTGCTGAATGCTAATCACAAAGATCGTGTTAGTTTTGATCACAGATGGTGTCTTTAACCATTTAGACCAGGTCGGGTCAGGTCAGGTCAGGTCAACCAATAAGGGTCGTGACGGGTATTCGTAGTACGTGTCAACCGCCTCTGACAGCTTCGTAACATGTTACGAAGGCACCAAAACTACTTCGTAAATGTTCAAATAGTTGCTAACTGCGAATTCAGCTTAAAAAAACTAGTCTGGAAACACGTAAAATTCGAAAAAAATGACCGAGGTCACCAAAGATCAATGACCGACCTACCCTTCAGGTGACCTTGAAATGCATGGGAGCCTAGGTGACCCTAATGCATGGGAGCAACACCAAATCACATGTTTGAACGTTTCAAACCACGAAAAGCTTGCAAACGCGCGGCTATAAGGTGCACACACTGCCGGTATAAGGTAACGATGTCACAGTCAGACGCACCTGTTTCATGCTGGTTGGTCTGAATCTCCTTTTGGAAGGTGTCTAGATAGTTTTGAATGTCTGACATATTTTCTGTCTGGACCTCCATTGCTGGAGCAGACAGCTGGACACAGTCTGGGCCTGAGGAGCACAAACACAATTGTGTCAAACATACAGAACACAACACCAACACAACGCTATATAACACGAACAATGATCTTAAGGTGGAAGAAATGCAACTAGGAGTGACCATCCCATCTTAACATTAGTTTGAGTAAAGGAGATACCCAAATCGGGTTCCCTGGCTTGCAATCACATACCGGTTTCGACACTCACAACATCGAGAAATGCTTTCCTTCAGATATACCGTAAACGGGGGTAACTTTACCACATTTTCAACTTTAAACATCTGTATTTTTTTATTGCGTTTAAATTGCGGCGTATCGATGTTTAAAACTAGACTGAGGGCTGGTTCTTTGGGTTTGGAGATTTTCATCCCGATATTTGACCTTAAATGTTTTTTCTTTTTTGTATAAAAATGAGTGGTGGCAAAGTTAAATGGAAAAGGGGTCACTTTGCCAGAATGCCTATACATAGCTTTCAACGTGTATAAATGATCTTTTTTTTACTTTGTTCAGTATTAAAGGGACTATCCCACCTTTAACATGGGGTTTGAGTTGAGATAGCCAAGTTTGCGGCGAGGTTCAGAAACCACTATCTATCTAGGTTGCAACCCCCGCGGCCTCTTGGTGTTGAAGAAATTCGTTCCCTTCATTTGAAAATGGGCCTTGTACAAGGCCCTATCTTCAACATGGAGCGACCGTTAGTGTGACGTCACCTCGTTTAGTTATTCTGATTTAAATGGGTTTGTTCGTTGAAAAATCGCTTAAAACTTGGTCTGAACTTTATTGTGGTGCCTACAGAGTAAAAAGAATCAGCTTTATGACAGTAATGTGGCCTGGGGAAGAAGGTAATTTTGGGCTGTGACGTCACATATTTGAAAGTTTGTGTTTGAAATATGGGAAGCCTAAGATGTTTAATGAAAAATAAATGCCAGAACCGTGTTCCTGGTCATCCAATCTATAAAGTCGGGCACAATTTAACTGGTTTTAACAACATTTTAGAAGGTGAGATAGTCCCTTTAAGGACTGGCTACACTATGCGTTTTCTGCGTGCGTTTTTTTTTTTGCGAGTTTGCGTGATTTGCGTAATGTCGTTCTAGAAAAAAGTTATTACTAATATAACTTCTCTAATATTTATTTAAAAGTTAATAAAATTTTTATATTAATTAAAAGTTTATGAAAAACATAACAAAAACGAAATGTCGTTTCTTTCTACAACGATATTACGAAAATCACGCAAACCCGCAAAAAACGCACGCAGAAAACGCATAGTGTAGCCAGGCCTTTACAGTGTTGCAGTGCAGTCAGTGGCGCTGTCAAACCCTTGGAGGTTCTGATGGGCCTGGCTGTACAGTGTACATACAGAGTCTCCTGAGGTACTGGGTCCACCTGACACTGACTGTCCTGGCTTCACATTCAGCTTTCATCGTTTCACTTTGCTCTGACCGTCGTTATCAAACCGGGACTCATGCAAGTAGTCAACAAGAACACTGCTGACGAGAGGCCTCTTGCACCAGAATCCTCTTGCACCAATGCTTGAATTATTTTGCATCGTATACCCAATCCAAGACTCAAATGTGACAATTTGCGTGTAAAATTTACCAAGCACCTGTAGGATTATATATTGGGCTATTGCAAACAAATTTACCACCGTTTGATTAGCTTATTCTGAAACCGATTTTTCGATTTTACCTAGCTAGGTAGTTTGGTGCAAGAGGCCTCGTCTTGATCTTCGCGGGCTTGGCCATCTGGTATCCTTTTCAGGACAGCCTCGGGATCCAGTGGGAAGATGCCACAAGCCTTGAGGCCGGCTTGAAGGTTTTTGGAGATGTTTGCTTCTGATGCCTCCACGGCCAATTTCAAAAGGCCGGGGAATTTGTTCTTCTCCACTCCACTGCCGGACGAGTTTCTCAGCTTGTACTTCTCCAGCACCGATCTCTCCACACCTTCTTCAATGGTGCGAACACACAGACATTCAGCTGTGGTTGCGTCAGCTGTGTGTGCTGTTGGGAGGAAGCATGACAAAGGCTATGTTACTCTGCTCACACTTCCTGACGACCTCAAAATTCAGGTGTGAGCTCAGATTGTCGCCAATCATCACTTCTTTCCCTCAAACCTGTTGGCCCAGGGGAGGACGATGGTGTTGAACCAATCTTCTTGCTGCTTCCAAAGCGAGCTTTTGATGGTCCCGCCTCAGTCCATGTTCTCAACAGATGCTTTGCTCTGTATACCACATATGGGGGCAGCACTTGTTCACTTGCAGTTCCTGAGAGCATCACAGAAATGTTACCTTTGGTGGCATTCATATTTCTCTCCGGATATTTGCAGCCCCTACGAAACATTCTTTGTTCCTGAATCATATCACTGAAGTTGGTTTCATCGAAGTTGAAAATGTGATCTTCAGGGACATCCTCCAGCACCTCACTGAGATGCTGAAAGTCCTCCTCGATGTCCTCCTTTACAATTTGGGATCGAGCTTTCTTGATGTTTTGGCACCTTTTTTCACTCAACTCTGGGTGTCTCTTCAAGAAGTTTTTGATCCACATGTCTCAAGGGATGTTGTTTTTGAAACGCTTCTCTTTTTCCAAGACGTTCCAGGTAAGTTTCGACCGAGAACGAATCTCGAAAGTGTGAATCGGAAGTAATTCATCTTTGCTCTAGTGAGAGGAAGTGTTTGCTCACACTCTCTCGTGTTTTTTTTGTGCATGGGTAAGCGCTGCAAACGCGAAAAAAGTTCAACTGAACCAAAAATTTCACACGGCATAGCGGCAAGGGATCCCTTGGAGGTAGGCTTGGGATTTCCAGGCTATTTTAGGCCACTCAGGGTCAGTATGGGCTCTCAGAAGCCTACTTAGGACCCCAGAGATCGGCGTGGGTTACCCCATTCACGTGTATGTGGAGCTTTAGGGCTTTCCGAGCACAAGGTGGGGCCCTCAGAAGCCAGTGTGTGCGGCAGGCGCTAAGAGACCAGGCCCAGGGTGAACCTGGAGCCCTTAGATACCTAACAGCCAGACAGCAAAACATCCATACACTACGCCGGACGCCCGTGAGACCCTCATGCGCCGAAATTCGGCGCAAGCGATTCTGCGCTAAAATTTCGGCACGATTTGCGCCAAAAATTGGGTGCTTATTTGCGTTAAAATTAAGCCACTTTTATGTATCGCACATGTACACATTTACCCAGCAACCAAGGCTATATCAACCAGATAAAGCGTCCCAGGGCCTTGGGCACTCTCCGATGTTTGAGCGTCCGAATAAGTTTTTATTTCCGCGGAAACCCAATACCACAATACGCTTAGCGTACTGTAGAGTCGTGCCGTGAAGCAAGGCCCTTGCCGGAAATTCCAGGGCCACAAAAATCGGCGGAGCGGTGTGTACGAGGCTGGCGGGTGGCAGAAAGGGCCGGGCAGGCCGGGCAGCGGAGCAGCACGTGTCCCGGCACATCAGCCCTCGGCACACGGCGCAGAGCGCCGCGGGGCACTGGGCACCGCTTGTCTGGGCACTGCTGGCACGCAACAGAGGGGAGACGGCCGATCCGTTGCAGGTACTGGAGCGAGCGGCACCAGTGGCCCGCCCTCACCTGGTGCACCGATACGGCGTCCTCTCGGTCCTCTCCGGGGATAGGGATTACCTAGGGAGCGGTGGCGTGCTCCCGAGGAGTGGCTTGAATAGTGACTCGGACCAGTTGTCGCGCCATTGATGCGAGGGGCCGTACATGGCGCACAATGAACCATCCGGATCAGCGTGTGGGCGTCAGAGGACAGGGCGGCCGCTTGTTTCGCCAGGTCATCCGCGCTCTCATTCCCCTCAATACCACAGTAAGCAGGAACCTGACTGCAGCATTATTTCACGACGCTCTGCGATGTTCAATAGGTCTTTCATACCCACCTCCGCCCTGAGTGTGGACTGGCCTCATCTGGGTGGCTGCTCCTCCACTGAGTACTCTGGGCGGCTTGCCACTTTGAGCACTCGATGACCGAGGCAAGTATGCCTCCTCCCAAACCTTCCCCAGACCCACCCGCTGGGCGAACCTGCTGCTAGATTGACCAGCGTGTCGACTAAATTTGGTGACCATCATTCACCAAAAAAATTATGCAGCCCCCCTGCGCCGAAAAAATTATGTTGCCGCCATGCACCAAGTTCAGCGCATAGTTACCCCAGACGTGCGCTGAAATTTTTGGTGCAATCCCACCACTACGCCGCACATATTTGGCATAACATGTATTTTTTCCCAGTCTGGGATAACAGTGTGTACCCTCAGGGTCTATGTCAAATCCCTAAGGCAAGGAGCTTATGTAAGGATATAACATGTGGGTCATGAGCTGTGAGCATGATGCCTCAGATGCCAGTTTGGAGTCAGCAAAATCTGTTGCCTAAAAGCTCGGCTGAGCTATCATAGACCAGATGAGGTTCTCAGAAAATTTTTGTCATTATATTTTGGTGACATGTGACTTGTTGTATCATATTCATATCTTGACTAAGGATGTCAAATAATGGAAGAATGTCAATGTGTAATATTTACCTTTGAAGTGTTTCTGTCCTAAAGTTCTAATACCTACTTAGGTGTACCCTTGAACCAACCCTTGAACCTATTGCAGACATCTGACCTGGGAACTTACAGTAGAATGAGAAGCATTGCAAAGGCAGCAGAAAACACTGATGTAGTTAAGGTACTCATGTCCCTCAAATCCTATTTTTCATTTCAAACTCAAACTACAAACATTAAACACCGAATCTGAAACGCTTATTACAAATAACCAAGCTCAACAACGGTGGCGCTAGCGTCTTAAATACACGGGCGACCTCTAGCAGACTCATAAGTATGACAAACAAAGCCCGCAAAATGACTCAAAGTGCTCAACAGACCAGAACCATTACAAACACTAACAATCCCTTGTAAAGTTGTAAAAAAGAACTATCATACGTAACTATTGCACCAAGAAGAGATTTCCAGCGACCTTAGAGATTATTCGGCTATCATTCGTAGCAAGATGGCGGCCTTACGAGTATTATATTACGGGGGACATTCAAATGTGCAACAATTCAAATTTGCGACACGCACGCAGGTGCTACAAATCCAAAAGTGCATCAACGACGAAAGTGCGATTCGACGGGGGACCTAATCGACATAAGTTCTACAAAGTGCTACACTTTCATTGGCTGGCGCAAGGCTGGAGCTGGGCGGAGGCGAGCGAAGCGCTGGCCAATAGGAGGGAGTGTCACAGCCACAGCTACCTCGGTACCCTCTAGCGGCCGGCCGGGACGGCCACGCCGGAGCGCGGCAACGGAGCTCGGACGGAGGGGAGGGAGATCCGCCGCGCACAAAAATAGCCGCACCTGGCCGGTCCGCGCGCATACCTGGGACGGGGACGCCGGCGTGGACAATACACATTCCAGACGCCGCCGTCAAAACAGGGGGCCGGTCTCCGGCCCTCCCAGGCTGCGCGGCGGCGCACTGAAAGAAAAACTACACCTGAAATTGGAATATTATTACGGTACACAAATCTCCACCCCTTTTAACTTCATTTTATGCCAGAGTAAAAGATGTTTGCATGGACAATTGGAGATTAATTCTGCCACCCGGTAGTAAGTAATATATCCTCGTAAGCTTAAAACTACACCCGTTGCGGAATAAAAGTACGGTACACAAATCTCCACCCCAAATCAATTCATTTTACACCCCTAGGTAAAGGGTGTAAAGGGGCGTTAGGAAGAATGAAGCATGTAATTTACGATGATAATTTTACGCCACAGTGCAATTTAAGCCAAAACAATTTCTACGCCTTGCGGCATGGTGTAGAAATACCAGCGGGCTGCGAAGCTGAATGTGTAAAATTTAAGTCAAGATGTAAAAATAGCTCACGTTATAATCCGCATACAAAACAAAAGTAAACGATAATAATTGTATGTTCTTTTCCAGAGGGAGTAAAAATACGACTGGGTAAATATATCGCCAGCCATAACTATCCCCCAGCGTGATTGTATCTACTGTCGTCTTCTGAGCACTTTCGATAAAGTCAACTATGGTGCATCTCTCCAACGTGTTGTTTATTTAAAATAACTTGAAACGACAGATCACAGGTGTAGTGGCCGACGGCCGCTCTCCGCCCGGTTACGGTCGAGCCATGTGGTGGCCACGTGCGTCCGGTGGTCCCGCTCGAGGCGAGGCCCGGCTCGGGTCACGTGAGGGCCCGCTGTCGTGATTGGCCGCCGCCGGCGTGTGCCGCGAGGGAGGAACGAGGTGACCTGGGGCCGGTGCTCGCTGCGCCGACCCACTCTCTGTCTGTGACTCGTGCGGTGAGGACGGCAAAGAACAAATACAGCGTCCTACTAAGTGCATCTTTGTGTGGTGGGCGGTGACATAAGTGGCGGAAGACGGTGCGAGCAGTGCTAATCGTGGCTGCTCCTGATACCTGTCTTTATGTCCTGGGGGCCCACTACTTTCTCTCTCCTTTTCTCATTGAGGGTGTGGAGGGAGGCGGCTGCGGTGTCTCGCCATCGAGTCACCGAAGCTGACCGCGAGTGAAGTGTCTTGCCATCGGGATACAACACTCGTGGCCTCCTCGTTCCTGGGGCGGCCAGTCGGTTTCGGTCAATCTCGCCATCGAGATCCCGGAGCATCTCAGATCCGTCTGACCACAGCAGCCTCGCCATCGAGGGGCTGTGGTCACTCGGCGGCTACCGCATTCCTTCCCATCCTCTACCAAAATCCACTTTCTCCTCACCCTGCACCACAGCCAGTCAGCCAAATCAAGTGTCGCTGTACGCAACTACAGACCAGAGGACGGCGTGGCGACATTTTCTGGTCCTCCGGGCCGGATCTCAACCGGAGATCCCATCGCAACTGCTGAATGGATGCAGAATACAGTTGTGAAACTCAAGCAGTCGATCCTACAATGGCTGAAGCTCAGCGTGCCGCCAAGGATCAGGAGCTTGCTGACCTGCGCCGACTGCGTGGATGCAAGAGGGCTGCTACGACAAGGGCCAGCAAAGCAGTAGAAGTAGAGATAACAAGACATGCTAATCGTGACCGCATCCATCAGGTCAGCGCAAGACTAGAAGAAGCATTTGCCGATTTGCGAAAGACTCATCAGACATATGAAAGCAAGCTGGGAGACGAAGAGATTGAAGAAGCTCAAGCATATGCCGATCATTTCGAAGAAGAAGAGCTAGCCATCCAGGGCAAGATTCAACAATATCTCCAAGAGCTGGACGAAGTTCGTTCATCAGCTACCACTTCCCGCCGTGGGCCGAGTCACGCCAAGTCACATACGTCAGCAGGGACGGCCGCTTCAGTCCGATCAAGAGTGGTCGCCGTAGAATTGGAGGATGCGGATCGCAAGCTACAAGACGTCAGGGCCCAGGTAGAAGAAAGTCGCCGTAACATGATGGAGAGGCAAAGGGCGGAGAAACGCCAACGTGAAGCTCAGCTCGAAATGGAGAATCTCCGACAACAAGAAGAGTGGGAGCTTCAAGAGCGCGACAGTGCACTTCAGCTGAAGATAGCTGAAGAGACTCGAAATCGAGCAGCAAGAAAGGTCCGTCTCTATCGCGCTGCTGAAGATGACCTGAATTGGGATCGTCGTCATGACTTTGACGAAGCTGTCGCTGGGATGGGAGAAGAAGCAAAGCCAACACGTGAAGGTGTCTGTGAGGGCACTGCGACATCCATGGGTAACTGCGGCATGCACTCTCAGCGTGATCAACAGAGGGACGAGCGGCAGGAAGGTCACACCGCTGCCACACACCATTTGGCAAACGAAGACTGCGCTGTGAACGACGCCGTGCAGCCGACGACAGTCGATCAAGCTGCGACTGGGGCACCACTTGAGGCCTCAGCTGGAAGTGCAACCACAACCCTAGATCCCAGTACCTGGATGATCCCAGATGTTTCTCAAGAGCAAGCACGCTCGAGTCAGTCAACAGCGTTCTCCAAGAGTGTACCGAGCCTCAGCCTCCACACCTATCGAGGGGATCCCGCTGACTGGCCTCGATGGATCAGCCTCTTTAAAGTGCTGGTCCACAATCAGACATCGCTGACGAATGCAGAGCGGATGACTCATCTGCAGCAAGCAGTTGAGGGCCCTGCCCACCAAGCCATTGAAGGGCTTTTGTTTGATGGATCGCTGTACGAGCAAGCACTGAAGACGCTATATGAACGTTTCGGTCGGAAAGACGAAATCAGCCAGGCAAGTCTCAATCAGATGTTTTCTACCCCAGCACCAAGTGTGAATAGCTTGGCGTCAATGGAGAGGTTCAGCTCCGCCATCAGCAACACGGTCATGACTCTGCGAGCCCTGGGCTACTATCATGATCTGGGGGCAAGCGACACCCTCCGCAGAGTGATTGCCAAGCTCCCTGACGAGCTTACTTATCAGTGGGGCCAAGAAGTCTACAGGATGCGACCAAACCAGCCCAATCTGGAGATGTTTAGCGAGTGGCTGAAGATCCAGGTGAACGTGTTGAGCTACACCACTCGCCCGAGCCGTGACCCCGAAAAGAGGAAGACTGTGGTGACTCCGAAAGAGACCATGACGAGGCGGACGACATTGGCCACTTCCGCATCCTCACCGCGTGAGGAAAGCCATAGGCCCAGGCCTTGCGTCGTCTGCGAAGGGGAGCACAAACTGGAAAACTGTCCTGATTTTCAAGCCCAGACGCTGGAGGAAAAGCTCGTGACTGTGAAACGGGAGCGACTGTGCTGGGCGTGTCTCAGGAAGGGGCACTTCGTCAGATCGTGTAGATCTGCCAAGCGCTGTGGCACAAATGGATGCAGGGCGACACATCACAAGCTTCTACATACGCCCAGAGGTGATTCAGGGGGCGGGGAGAGCAGCGGCAGAACAGAGAATCGCCTGAACAGAGAAGATCCGATCGTTGGTGCAGCCATGACGGAAGCCACGGACACGCTTCTACAACTGGTTCCTGTCAGAGTTCACGGCCCGAACGGTGACAAGGATGTTGTCGCTCTTCTGGATCCGGGGGCGCAAACGTCACTCTGCTGTGAGAAGGTGCTGCAAGAAATCGGTGTGAAGGGGGAGCGTGAAGAGCTCAGACTTCAGAACGTCGAAGGAAGCGGACAGAGACAGTCATCCATCCGTGTTCCGTTGACAGTCAGCCCTATTTCTGTCGATGCCAAAGAGGGCCACATCGTAATCCCGGAAGTTTGGTCTGTGCCAGGATTGAATGTTACTCCACCCAGCATCAGCCGACGACAGACCTCCAGCTGGAAGCATCTGCAGGGTCTCGACTTTCCTCAGTACAGTGGTGCACGTGTCGAGCTGCTGCTCGGGGCCAACATACTGGAAGCTGTCCTGCAACGGGAGATCAGAGTGGGAGGTACCGGCCAACCGGTCGCAGTGAGGACAGATTTCGGTTGGACCCTGACTGGATCTGTGTCGGCACTGGTACCCCGTAGTACGCGGCACGTCATGTTTGTACGCAAACAGTCAACAGATGAAGAGAACCTGAGTGAGCTGGTTCAAGAGTGGTGGACCACTGAAGCATTTGGCACGAAGATCAACGTCAAGGACGCAAGATCTCAAGAAGATCTCCGTGCATTGGCTCTTCTGGATCGAAAGACCAAAAAGGTCGGGGAGAGATACGAAACCTGCTTGCTGTGGAGTGAGGAAAATCCGACGTTCCCCGACAACTCAAGACAGGCGTACTACCGGCTAACATCAACAGAAAGGAAACTGGAAAAGCATCCAGAACTGGCAGACAACGAAGAAGAACAAAAACAGGCGACGTCAGTGAATGTCATCGCAGCATCAACACGACCAGAAGAACCGGACCCAGCGAAGTATTCATCGTGGATCAAGTACAAGCGAGTTGTCGGCTGGATCAAGCGTTTTGTGCACAACCTGAAGGCGTTCTTGCCTGGCCGACAACCTCCATTATCAGGTCCACTATCACGCTCTGAGATGGTGGAGGCCGAAGTATGGATCATCAGACAAGAGCAGCTCACGACGCATGGGGAAGAACTCCGATGTCTGGAACAGCGACGGCCGATCCAGACTTCCAGTCCTCTGCTCTCGCTGACACCGATCTGCGACAGCAATGGCCTGGTCCGTGTTGGAGGACGCATCGGGAAAGCATCTATTCCCGAGGAGTCCCGACATCCGATCATCCTGCCGAGGAAAAGCGAGCTCGCCAGGCTCATCATCATGCAAGAGCATGTCCGTCATGGTCATGCGGGGACAGAACACACGCTGAATGAAGTACGGCAGAAGTTCTGGATTCCCCAAGGACGCGCAGAGGTGAAGAAGCAGCTCCGCAGTTGCCTCTATTGTCATCGACGCAGAGCTGCTCCGGCGCCACCAAGGATGGCTGACCTTCCCGCTCAGAGACTCGAAGCCGATCATCCGTTCAAGAACGTGGGTGTGGACTACTTTGGACCACTGCGAGTGAAGCGGTTCCGAAGAACTGAGAAGCGATACGGACTGCTGATAGCGTGCTTGGCGACCCGTGCTGTTCATCTGGAGGTGACACATTCGCTGGAAGTGGACAGCTGCATCATGGCCCTCAGACGCTTCTTCTCTCGCAGATCCCAGCCAGCAGTTATCTTCTCGGACCGCGGTACCAGCTTTATCGGCAGCAACCGTGAACTACGCGAAGAGCTGAAGGTGCTGCTAGCGCAGATGCCTGAGCGCCTGAGCGCCTTGGAGATTGACTGGAGGTTCAATCCACCAACGGCCAGCCACATGGGTGGTGTTTGGGAAAGGATGGTGAAGTCGGTCAAGACGTGCCTGCAGGCAGTCGTCGGATCTCAGCTGCTGACCGATGAAGTTCTCCTGACTGTGTTCGCGGAGGTCGAACACATGATAAACAGCCGCCCACTTACCTATGTGAGCTCCGATCCATCTGATCCCGAAGCATTGACTCCTAACCACTTCCTGCTTGGTCGTGCTTCCCCACACCTGGCACCAGTCCTGACAAGAGACAACGACATGTGCAGCCGTCGGAGGTGGAGACAGTCGCAAGCTGTGGCTGAACACGTTTGGAAAAGGTGGACTCGAGAATACATACCGACTTTGACACAGCGGAGCAAGTGGCGCCAGGAAAGAAGAAGCCTTCAAGTAGGGGACCTGGTCCTCATGGCTGAGTCCGATCTGCCCAGAGGAGCATGGCCTCTGGCCAGGATCGTTCAGGTCTTCCCGGGTAAGGACGGAAGAGTCCGGTCAGCTGCGCTACGGACCTCCTGCGGAAAGACGTACACCAGGCCAGCAGCAAAGATCTGCTTCCTGGAGGAAGAGTGCCGTTGATCGCGGGAGCTGGGCTGCCTGGTGGCTGAGGATCATTCGCGAGGCGCGCTGTGCGGTGAGCAATCGTACAGTGTTTGATATTGTGAGGTGAATGTTTGAGTCATCGCTAAAAGGGTTAGCTGGCAGCGGTGTTTATATGTCTTGTATGTTTGTAACAACGACTTTGGTAACTGTGAAGAGTGAAGACACACTTATGTTCTAAAGGCCGCGAACGTGAGAATGTATAATGTCTATATGTAGCATTGGCGCGTCGGCTGAGCATTGTGTAGTGTTGCTGCGAGGCGCAACACGGTGGGGGAGTATGTAGTGGCCGACGGCCGCTCTCCGCCCGGTTACGGTCGAGCCATGTGGTGGCCACGTGCGTCCGGTGGTCCCGCTCGAGGCGAGGCCCGGCTCGGGTCACGTGAGGGCCCGCTGTCGTGATTGGCCGCCGCCGGCGTGTGCCGCGAGGGAGGAACGAGGTGACCTGGGGCCGGTGCTCGCTGCGCCGACCCACTCTCTGTCTGTGACTCGTGCGGTGAGGACGGCAAAGAACAAATACAGCGTCCTACTAAGTGCATCTTTGTGTGGTGGGCGGTGACATAAGTGGCGGAAGACGGTGCGAGCAGTGCTAATCGTGGCTGCTCCTGATACCTGTCTTTATGTCCTGGGGGCCCACTACTTTCTCTCTCCTTTTCTCATTGAGGGTGTGGAGGGAGGCGGCTGCGGTGTCTCGCCATCGAGTCACCGAAGCTGACCGCGAGTGAAGTGTCTTGCCATCGGGATACAACACTCGTGGCCTCCTCGTTCCTGGGGCGGCCAGTCGGTTTCGGTCAATCTCGCCATCGAGATCCCGGAGCATCTCAGATCCGTCTGACCACAGCAGCCTCGCCATCGAGGGGCTGTGGTCACTCGGCGGCTACCGCATTCCTTCCCATCCTCTACCAAAATCCACTTTCTCCTCACCCTGCACCACAGCCAGTCAGCCAAATCAAGTGTCGCTGTACGCAACTACAGACCAGAGGACGGCGTGGCGACAACAGGTTGCTACAGATTGGTTCCTCCCAACACTGACTTCCCTGAGGATATCACAAGCTGCACAAATCACATTTTATTCACAGCACAGTTCATCAGGTCACTAAGTCACGTTTCATCATGTACTTTAAAAACAACTGAGCATTTCTTCGTGTAACGAGTATCGACACCAAACGTACGGTCTCTGAAATCAAAGCACAGGTCCAGGTGTACGAACTAGGAAAGCACTGACAACAAAAACGCCGTTAAAAAAAACTGACTGAGGCCTTCTCAACTCACATCATCTTCAGTGCCTATAGGTACTGAAGATGTTTCACGGCACGACACTATGTACAGTGCGTTACGTGTATCGCGGTGCTGAGTTCCTATTGGAAACATCCACATACTCGAACGCTCTCAATGTTGGAGCGTCCAAGTTTGTAGATGTTTCTATGGAAACTCAATACCGCGATACTAGTAGCGCACAGTAGTGCCGTGCCGTGAAACAGGGCCCTGCTCGGTCACCCGACCACTGCACTGGTGCCTCTGAATCGGCAACAGTGGATTATACGAAGGATGGCATTCTCGGCCGCACTGAGAGGAATCGCGAACTTCATAACCCGTGCATATATGACCTCAAAAAGGATCATGCTGGGCCCTCTAAAAGGCAAATACAGCACAGCGTGCGCCGCAGCGAAGGCAGCCAGCATCTTCATCTCACTGTTTGGGAGACGATATTTCACATAGCTGACCAGGCACTGGGTTTCTGGGTGAACGGACACAGAGTTGCGCCCATCCTGCAGCTCCGAAATCGTCGTGCCGCCACCGATCACCAAGGTGGCCGCCAGGTCGTCATCTATCAAGATTGAAAGATAAAAGAACTATTAACCACTGCAATCTTTAAGTTAAGAACGACTTTGTATGTCAGGCCGTCCATCCGTCCGTCCATCCGCCCATCGATGTAAATTGAAGGATGTAAAGAAATATTAAGCACTGTAATCTTTCAGAAAATAGCAATTTTGAATGTCGATCCTTAAGAATTGACAGATGAATCTATTAACCCGCGCACCGAAGGGGTTCTGAGCCAACTTAGAAGCGACGAGAGGGTGGATGACCGCCCCCCAAAGATCTCAAGAACTTAGTAACTTCGCGAGAAGCGGCAAACGACATTCGAAAGCTCGTAAGAAGGTCTATGAAAAAAGTACTTCGGTCATTTTTCGTTAGGGTTCAAAATGACGTCATCAGAGGTCATCGAAGGTCAAATTATGCGAGTAACCGTAAAAAGACCGACAACATTCAACAAACGACTCCGTAGCTCATGAACAGAAGAGCTAAAAAGTCGTATAAAAAAGGAATATGATGGACATAAGAATGACTTGAAATTTATTCCATTGACTTATAATGGGCAGGTAAAAAATGACCTATTCGTAGGTCATCGATATGCAATTCTGAGATATACGAGTTGTAGGTGCTCATCACCAAAATTATTTCTGTGAGTTTCAAGATCTGCTTTCAACAACGAGATAGCAAACTTCGAAGATTGTGTTTCGAGGTGAGGTCACTTAACGTGGCCTGGTGGCTTGACTTTTTTAAGATATGAGCTAAAAATTTCCAGAGTGTGTACGAAATGGATGTATCAACAGTCGTGCCAAATCTGGCGGCGATATGCGCCGCCTTTTTTATGCTATCTGACAAAACCTGAGGGGGGGGGGGGCTCCCCCGTCGGTGCGCGGGTTAAGCACTGTAATCATAAGGCAAAGAACGATATTGTATGTCTGTCCGTGAAAACTGAAAGATATAACTAGTAAGCACTGTAACATTTAATTACAGAACGATATTGTATGTCATGGACGGACGGACCGACAGACGAGACAGACGAAACAGACAAATGTAAAATATTGGGGGGGGGGACACGTCCCCCGTCCCTCCCCCTCCCCCCGGTGGCGGAGCCCATGGATGAGACAGGCGAGACGGACGGACGGACGGACGGACAGACGGACGGACGGACGGACAGACGGACAGACGGACAGACGGACAGACGGACAGACGGACAGACGGACAGACGGACAGACGGACAGACGGACAGACGGACAGACAGACAGACAGACGGACAATTGTCGTCAGTCATCATTAATGGTGGTTTAACCCTCGCATGTGTGCGGCGTTTGCCAGCTTCTAATGTGTAGGGGGGGGGGGGTCGGTTGGACCCCCCCCCCCTTGCCGTTTGGCCCCTGATCGAGCTAGAGCTTCGCGGAAAAAACGAGCGTGTTGCCCGTGACGAGAGGAAGCCGATGATACCCAATTTTAAGGTCCTAGGTCATTGGTTGACCTTCCAGGTCAGGTCAATGACCCAAAGTCGGGAAAATCGGGACCTGTTAGAAAGTCGTAAAGTGTGGCTGCTAAGGGGTTTTTCGGGGTGCTGATCACGAATATCGTGTTAGTTTTGATCACAGATGATGTCTTGAAGCATTTAGACCAGGTCGGGTCAGGTGAGGTCAGGTCAACCAGTAGGCGTCGTGACGGGTATTCGTAGTACGTGTCAACCGCCTCTGACAGCTTCGTAACATGTTACGAAGTCACCAAAACTACTTCGTAAATGTTCAAATGGTTGCTAAATTCGAATTCAGCTCCAAAAACTAGCCTAGAAACATGTAAAACTCGAAAAAGTGACCCTAGGTCACCCGAGGTCACCAAAGGTTAATGACCTGACCTGACCTTCAGGTGACCTTGACACACACGGGAGTAACATCAAATCACATGTTTGAACGTTTGAAACCACGAAAAGCTTGCAAACACGCGGCTAGTGCGAGCCGACATACGCGAAATCGCGATTCCGGCCAAACATAGTCTCGGAAAAGAGGTCACAGGTCAAAGGTCATTTGGGTCAGGGTCATGAAATTTTCAGGGTAGGTGTCAAATTGATCAATGCGAGGGTACTGAAAGTTTCGTCGCGATCGGCCGCTTTTTACGCGAGTTATTCGCGAAAAACCATGGAGGGGGTCCATCCGACCCCCCCCCCCCTACACATGCGAGGGTTAAAACTCACCTTCAACGGGTGTGGCGCCCTCCGGAGGCAGGAGTTGTGCGGTGTAGCACGCCTGTCGCGTCATTGAGGTGACTTTGTCCTAATGCCATTCTCGCCGGCGTGACCCACGACGAGAGCCAGGTCACCCCAAACCTGAAAGTAATACACAAAATAAAATAGCAACTTTTCCAGGCCAAGATTCTAGTACTTTTGTAAAACGTAGAGAAATAAAATTACTAAACATACCTAAACATATATTGATCAATCGACACATTGAACATTTGATGAAGTTACAGTTAACAACCTCAGTAGGTACTTAACTGATTTCTCAATTTGCCCTTGAGAACAAACTGCGAGGGTCAATTTGAGCTTCTGGAATCACTTATCAGAATGCCACGTATTGACACAAACAGCTAAGTGAGAGACGTGCATACAGACAGCAGCAAATCAATTTCATCAACTGCTACATCGAAACATTATCAAGTCAACTTACCCTCAAAGTTATTCGGAAATGGGTCCAGCACTAGTCAGTCATCACCACACCGAACGCACCAGCACACTCGCACCTATCTCACTGTTTCAACCGCCAGAAGATCACTTGCAAGCGCCAGAAGTCTCCGTGGCTCCGGTCCGGAGCAGACACAAAAATGAAAATGGCGGAAACGGAAGGCTCGCGAGCCGCACGTGGACGCTATCGTAAAATAATGAGCATATGGGTGCAGAACTATTATGTTTAGGGTATTTTAAATCCTTGTCATAAAATAACACCATCCTCATCGAAACACACTTTACAAAGGATGCATATTTACACCATGATGAGGGTTGAATTATCAGCTGACAAATCAGAGTGCAAATTTATGCTATCAGATGGGTATTCTTATCCCACTTGAAGAAAATACACTATAGTATAGTTCGTTTTTTTTAAGTTTGCCCCTCACTGTAAACGTCTTTTTGAACATAGCACGAGAATTGCTAGCTGAATTACTGAGAAAACTGGTTGGCGCACACTGATTTAACCAGATTTCACAGACGATCAATTTCATCAAATTTATTTACTATTTCACAGACTCGTAAATCGTATCTGTCAATACCTACAGCCCCACAGGGATAGACGACTTCTCAGGAATTATGTCTGAACTAATAAATAAATTGCACGGCGCTTAACATAATGTTAAATCGTCGGTGTTCAAAACTTATTTTTGAAAATATTATTCATATCTACAATACAATGTGCGCTAACCAGTTTTCTCAGTAATTCAGCGAGCAATTCTCGTGCTGTGTTCAAAGAGACGTTTACAGTGAGGGGCAAACTTAAGAAAAACGGACTATAGTAATTTTACCATCCATCAATTAGAGGGGTAAATATCTCAAAAGTTAGAATTGCACCATGAGTGTTAAACTGGATTGAATTAAACCCCAAGAATACGCTCGTGATAGAGTACATTCGCACCGGAGCATTATTTTATTCTCCATATACGTCGAACAAGGGTATAAATATTCTTGATTTCGGTGTAATGGCGGTGTATAATAATCAAATTCAAATTATCAAGGTGTACTTTTCTTTCAGTGCGGAAGGGTCAAGCGGCGCGGCCCGGTCAGGCCGGGCCCGGGCGGCCGGCCGGTCTCGGCGGTCTACCTGGCCGGCTACGAGCCACAGCCGGTGAACATACATAAGCATTCATACATGCGGCGGTCACATGCTGTTTTGGACAAACGATTTCAGCGAAGGAAACAGAAGACGGTGAATTCCCCAGAACCTGCTTTTTAATTCTGCATGTTATTCTTAATGCAAATTTGCAACGAAACACCTTGGAAAGCACAAGAGATCGTTTCAGGCAAGATAAAAACATCTCTATTATGAACTTCAATATCATGATATGTATTTTAACCCGCGCACCGACGGGGGTCTGCGCCAACTTCGTACCGACGGGGGGGGGGCGAATGACCGCCCCCCCCCTGAGATCTCGAGAACGAAGCCAGATAGCGACAAGCGGTAAACGGCATGGGATACGCACGGACAAGGTCTACTATTTTTACAAAGGTCATTTTCAGGTCAGGTCAAAGATGACGTCACAGGGGTCAAAAAAGTTAAAATGGCGGCGCTAGATATGGAGTTTTTTTTTCTCGAATCACTTTCGAACTAGTCAAGATATGAACAAACTAAGGGCATCATCGTGATCCTCTCGTCAATCCGCATCGAATGATATATATGTTGACCTGGTTGACCTCAGGTCACGTGACCTCGAGGTCATCATGTATATCATTCGATGCGCCTTGACGAGCTGAACTCAATGAGACCATCCGCGCGGCTGTATCTTGTTCCTGTACGGAGTTATTGGTAAAAAACAACCTTTGGTGACCTTTGATGACGTCACATGACCTTACAGCTGCCCAACAGCAAAACAGACCTCAAGGTAGTGAAGGTTGATCGTATATGAATTCATGTATGGTTTATGGGGCCATTCCGACCCGTTTTAGTGGTAAAAACAGGGAGTTGCTTTTTCCCCCATTGACTTATAATGGGGAGGTCGAGAAATTGATCTGACCTTAGGTCATCGATATCAAAATTCCGAGATACAAAAATTGTAGCTACTAATGAGTTTATAACATCCAGCGACTTTCAAAGGCCTCCGACATCTACTGTAGCTGTGGCACGGTGTCAAAGTTGCAAAAAAGTGACTTGAGGCTGAGTCATTCAAATTGACCTGATGACCTGACCTTAAAAGTTAGGAGGTTCAAACTTGCGCACCATGTGTAAAATTGATGAGAAAATAGTCGTGCCAAATTTCGCGGCTTTCCCGCTATCTACGAAAAGCCTAAGGGGGCGGATATCCGCCCCCCCCCCCGTCGGTGCACGGATTAACCCGCGCCCTGCTGTGCAAAAACGGCGGCGCGGAGCGCCGCCGTTTTTGGTACACCTTATCATACATCACTTCTACACATGTTGTGAAAATTTAAGGCCAAGGTCATTTAAGGTCAGGTCACCAGGTCACTTGAAGTGACCTCACCTCATAAAAAGTTTCAATGTCTGTCATAGCTACATACACCGAGCGACCGATCGCTTTGAAACTTTCAGCGATTGCTAAGAGCAATAGCATGTACAAAATGTTAATCTCAGAATTTTGATATCGATGACCTAAGGTCAGGTCAATTTTGCGACCTCCCCATTATTACGGAGCGAGCGAAGCGAGCGGAGTCTTACGTAGAATAACGGAAATTTCTGAGTATGAGCGGCCGGCCGGCCGGCCGGCCGGCCGTGCGGACGCTTTTGCGAGGCTTATATCTCAGCAACCACTTGACCGATTTACACGCGGTAATTTTTATAGGGTAGCTTCATTCCTTCTACCAAGTATTGGACTATTCCCGATGCATGTGAGTGACCCCTTATGCACGTGCCACGTGCAAAACGAAGAGGTGTCAGTTTTGCAATTGTTGCAATATTTCGGTAACTACTTGGCCGATTGCGCTGAAAGTTGGCATGTAGGTAGGCACCCACTAGGCACTGCATATCCATGTGCCAGAGTTGGGGTGCTGCTGCACGTGCGCACGTGCAGGGGTCGTTTCCAGATCTCGAGAACGGCTGGACCGATTGCGCTCAAATTTGGTACACAGTTAGGGACCGGTTAGTAGGGTGCCGTGCAAAAGCCAGTCGGGACCCATTTTGCACGTGCGCACGTGCAGGGTGCCGCTCCCAGATCTCGAGAACGGCTGGGCCGATTGTGCTCAAATTTGGCAAATCGCTAGAGACCGGTTAGTAGGGTGCCGTACACAAGTCAGTTGGAGGTACCCCCTCGCAATTTCGTACGTGCAAGGCCCACCCTCTCGCTCGCTCCGTTAGTCGCCGCATAAGGCGTTATACTGGTAAGTCAATGGGAGAAAATTGAAATGCGCCTCTTTTGGACGAAAGACATTATAAACACTCCCAAACACCGAATTACAAGTGGTTTAGACACACTGAACATGAAAATGGTGCCCGTGACCCTTGTTTATGCCCTGAGGTCATCTAAGGTCACGAATGGTAGGTATCTAACAGTTTTTCGCAAATAACTTTTGATAGAGGCATGCTAGAGCGATGAAAACGCCTCAAATGTGTTCAGCTCGACGATATGGATCGACTGATATGCAACATGACCCTTTCCGGTCAGGTCATGACCTTGACCTGAGGTCAAATTTTCAAGTTGACCTTTCAAGGTCAAGTTATAGTTCATTCGATGCGTCTTGACGGAGGAACACGATGCCGGTGAAAGTAAGCTTGTACAAGGCTTGGGTCAAAAGTTATTGCAGAAAAACTGTTTCCGAAAAAAATCTGCTATTTTTGCAGTTTTTGCCCCCTACAGGCAAAACCGTTGAAGTTAGGTCAACTCTGAGAGAATTACTCAGAAAGGGCGTTAATAGGGCTATCAAATTCGCTTTTCCGCGGCGCTGTAGCTCTATTGGTTCCCGAGGTATGCGTTGGCTTCTTGGAAATTTTCGACATTCGACCTGGAAATCGGCGAAATTTTGCCTTCAATGACCTCTGGTGACCTGACCTTTGACCTGACCAAAAAATTGACTGAAGTGATTTCGTCATTATTTTTGACGCTCTTTCGAACGCCGCCTTCCGCGTATCGCTACGTGGCCCAGGAGCCGAGTTACAAGGGGGGGGGGTGTTCAAACACCCCCCCCCCCCCAGCAGGGCGTGGAAATCCAGGACCCCCAGCCGGGCGCGGGTTAATAGAAACGTCCGGAGTCGGAGTCGGAGTTGGAGTCGGAGTCGATTTTTGAAGCCGGAGTCGGAGTCGGAGTCACCCTAAAATCCATCGACTCCGCAGCCCTGACTAGGCAAACAACTTTTACTATAGGCAAAGCTTTGCTACTGTATAGTCGACTACAGAATGATGTTCCACTTTTCACAGACAATTATTTGCCTGGAGTGGTAGGCTGTGCCGCATCACACGGGCTGAGTTCACAAATTATAGCTTTGTCCCAATGCTCACAATCAACACGCTAATCGCGTGATAAACGGCACAATTTAGCGCTCCGGTCAACTGATATCTTCTGAGGAGTGGATTATCATTCTGTAGTCGACTATACACTGCACAGCAGTGAATACCAGGTCAAAATGCAAGCATTTTCCTCAATTTGGAGAGTATTTATGGTATGCCCCCTTTGCTACGTCCGAGACCACCTTTCGGGATACGTCTTATATGATTCAGGCACAGTTTTCTCGCTTGGAATTTGTCAAGAGGTGACGCCTGCTTCCGGGCTGTTCAGAAGTGCCCCCTGTTCTGGGTTGTGGTGTTGCCCGAAACGGCACGAACCTTTCCCGATCGATGCATTTTTAGTAAATGGTCCACTGAGCGGCTCTAGTCCAGCGGCTTTTCCGCAAGTCTAGTTAACTTTTTTTAATATTTTGTCCCATTCATCATGTCTGATTACGGTGTAAAATAGAATAGGCATTAACTACCGGGCTCATTTCCTAAATCAATTTACCTATTCTTCGAACAGGCTCGATCCATAGCCGATTATCCAGCAGGTGCAGGGCATTCCTATTTATCATGGTAAACGACGCATCCTTATGCACGTAAAATGTAGTAGGGTAGGGGAAGTTGGGGGAACGCCGAAGACTTTTTTCTGACGCCCGTAGCACGCAAGGTAGACAACATACGCTATTCTTGTTGGCGTCATTCGAGAGGCCAGTCTTTTGCCTTTCAAACATACCAGGCGCATTTGATGAATTCGCATACCGTTAAGCGCACAAACTAAAAATATCAAAGAAGTGACTTTTTCGGCGTTGCCCCGGACTGCGGGGAAAGCCGAAAATGGGAGAAATGATCTACGGGGAATGCCGACATTGATGTTTTGCCATTTTATCTCAAACTTTATCCAGAATTCATCAAAGCTGAC